TTGAACTGCCAGCCTTCTGGTTAGCAGTCAAGTGCCTCAAACACTACGCTACCAGAGCTCCTACTGTGTCAGTATAATTATTAACAATATTCTTGTTCTCTCTAAAAATTATCTTAATTCATAAGACAAATGTGTATGTTAACTCTATCATTCACTAGCCATCTGTCAGTTTGTTTCAGTGGTGACTTGCATACTAGAAGCTGTATCAGTGATATTTCAAATATCATCAGGTTTACCCACGGTGAACAGGATTTAGAAGAGTTTCTAGTCTTGTACATATTAGAAAGAAAGGCCTGGTGATCTACTTCTAAAAATTAGCCAGTGAAAACTCTGTGAATCACAACAGAATACTGTCCAATACAATGCTGAATGATCAGTTGTCTAGGTTATAACAACAACAACAACGAACACTGCCATCCAGTCGGATCCGACTCATAGCGACCCCTCCTTGGGTTTCCAAGGCGATATCACTACAGAAGTAGATTGCCCAACCTCCCTTCCAAGGAATAGCTAGTGGGTTTGAACCGCCAGCCTTCTGGTTAGCAGTCTAATGCCTTAGACACTATGCCATAGAAGGCACACAAAATATATAGTGGCCACAATGGACTCCAGTATGCTGATAATTGTGATGATGGTGTAGGATTCGGCAATGCTTTGTTCTATTGAACACGAGGTCGCCATAAGCTGCAACCAACTCCATGGCAACTAACAACAATTCTAGCATATGCTGCTATTTTATTTCAATATTGTTAACACAAGAGTTACAAAACATTTTAAAAGCACAGATAAACCATAAGGGGAAGAAACTTACCTTCCTTATATGTTGGATTGTCGTAATGAACCTCTAGGAGCACATAGCGAGGATCTAGCAAAGTGCCAAGGGATAAGCCAACATGAGGTGGATAGGAAAAACCCTAAATGTGGAAAATTACATGACTCAGTGTCCTATAAAAGCCTTTCAGAGCTCTACTCCACTCAAAACCCAGCCATTTTCAAGATATTTCAATATTCTGGAACTCAATTTATAATTAATAAAATATGACTTTTAAAAAAATCACCTCCTAGAAAAATGGAAATAAGCCACTTTTCTATCAAAGATAGTGTACATAGCTTTACTTACAGGTACAGGTAGTCCCTGACTTACAACACAGTAGAGTTACAGTGAACCACACTTACGACGGTAGGTGTATCCAGAACATTGCATCTTCCTGGGAGGAAGTTATGGGAAAATCCATGTGAGGGATATGGGAAAAAATGGTAAGTTATGTGAACACACTCCAAGCATCTGATCAGCATAATATGATGGAAGAGAT